TGGGCGAGACAGTGAAGACTGTCTCGCGTGGGCGAGACAGTAAAAGTCTGTCTCGCCCTGCGAGACAGTAAAGACTGTCTCGCATGCGAGACCGTCTATACTTGTGTTCTTTTTTTGACATTTTGGATGACTTCCTTTTGAGCTGTGTTTGGATTCCTTTCAGCATTTTTTGACGCCTACAGTGGTATTGCAAGGAATTAAATTTATGCGGTTGCTTTGAAGCGGAGTCGAACCTGAGATCTTGGAGTAGTACTATATACATGCAATTTATCAACTCGGCTAGACCCTCTTGAGTACTTAAAACCCTTATCTTGACAGTAGAATCCAAATAAAATGGAATTATTTAAGTCCCTAGGAATGAGTTAGCTAAGTTAATCATTCTTCTTAACCCTTATCTCTCTCAACCCATTGGCAGACATTGCCTTACTGAATCAGATATAATAAAATTAGAAAATTACCACGAAAATTTATGATAGCTTTCTCAAATTTACCCTAACACAATCCATTATAGAGTCTATAAATATCAACTTATATCAAACTTGGAGCATAACTCAATCTGACTAGAAACTAAAAACATATATATTTAAAAGGAACAGAACAAAACAAGATAACTCAATCTGACTAGAAACTAAAAACAGATATATTTAAAAGGAACAGAACAAAACAAGAAAAAAAAGAAAAAGGGAAAATTGTGTCAAGGCCCCCAAAGCAAAGTCTTAATGTGCTTCAGTCCCTTTAACTTTTTCCCATGTGGTTCAGCCCTTAAATATAGGACACTATGTTCTACACTCATTCTTTAGCAATTATTAGATGCCAACTAAGCATAAAGAAAGAATAAAAAATAAAAAACCCCAAAACGCCCTTATCTCCTCTATTATTTCATGTTAAAGTCTAAAAACAAGTTGAATTAGACTTAACATTGTTATGGGGTACAACTGTTTCCAAATATATGATCTGATGAGTCGCCATTTCTATCCAGCTAGACAAGCCGACACCCCAGTGTCGACACGAGAAGCGGTGTTAATCGACACGGGCCATCCTAACCTCCCCGACGAGTCGACATCTCGACCGACGGGAGAGATAGTCAAAGATTAGCTAGCAGTCCGACTTAGCCGACCAGACGAGTTGACATTCATCAATGTCAACACGAAATACGGTACCAGTCAGCCCTCTCGCAGCAGGCAACTCGCCAAGAGCCTAGTCGGTCCAGTCGAGTCGATACTCCTCCGTATCGACTCAAAAGGCAGAACGAGTCATCACTCGACTCCATTCAGCCAGTGTTCCTCGAGTCGTCACTCCTCTTAACGAGTCGACTCTCCTCGCGAGTCCCATCATGAAGTACATTGTTCTCAGCGAAGCTAAAAGATAACTTCGCCAAAGCTTATCCATCCTGACAACAAGTCATATCAAGTCTACTCAAAGACCATGCGTCATCACGCAGCTTATCAGCCCATGTCCCGTTGATCACTCCTCAAATCGAGACCGAAGTGATCTTCCTCCTGTCGCTAGCCGACACGTGTAGAGCCAATGATGACTCATCTTCCAGCTCACACTTTGTCACCGCCATTTGCATGGCCGAAGTGACCAATCTGTCATTGGCATCCTCTTTATATGCAGATGATATTCGCCATAGCCAAAAGAAGGCAAGCCAAAGGTTTGCAATCTAAACTCTCTTCCTAACCTAAATCTCAGATATTATCATCTCTAATGCACATAACATAAGAATACATAGTTCTATCACTCCACTCAAGTTCAAGTTCATCAACTTACTAGATCGTCGGAGGTACCACGGGAGAATCATCACCCTGTCCTCTCATGACCTTCTTCTGTGCAGATCGTTCACTCTAACTCAGTGGCCGAGGCATAGAGTCGGGGAAGGAAGTGACCCCTTCATCCATCCATCATCATCATCTTGTCCCACTGTGGATGCAGATCTGGCTGTGTGATATTCAGCATCAACAAACATGAAAGTCTATTTCATCTTAAATCTAATTCGGTTCATGCTAAGTCTAATTTAATTTTTTTAACTCTAATTTAAATCATGTTATGTCTAATTCAACTTGTTTCAAGTCTAATTTAATTGGACTTAACATGAAATTAGACTTAAAAAAGTTGAACTAGACTTAACATAAATTGAATTAGACTTAACATGAATTAAATTGGACTTAACATGAAATTAGACTTAAGACGATTTAAATTGGACTTAAAATGATTTAAACTGGACTTAACACGAACCAAACTGGACTTAACACGAATCAAACTGGACTTAACATGAACTAGACTTAACATGAAATTAGACTTAACATGAACCTAACTGGACTTAACATGAAACTAAACTTAACATGAACCATGGTAGACTTAACATGAAATTAGACTTAACATGAACCAAACTGATCTTAACATGTTCAATTCATGTTAAGTCTAATTTTATGTTAAGTCCACTTTGGTTTATGTTAAGTCTAGTTTCATGTTAAGTCCAGTTTATCATGTTAAGTACAGTTTGATTTATGTTAAGTCTAATTTCATGTTAAGTCCAGTTTTGGTTCATGTTAAGTCTAGTTTTGTGTTAAGTTTAGTTTATCATGTTAAATCTAATTTTGGTTTATGTTAAGTCTAATTTCATGTTAAGTCCAGTTTTGATTTATGTTAAGTCTAGTTTCATGTTTAGTCTAGTTTGATCCGTGTTAACTTCAGTTTGGTTCGTGTTAAGTCTAATTTAAATCATTTTAAGTCCAATTTGAATCATGTTAAGTCCAATTTAGTTCATGTTAAGTCCAATTTAATTCATGTTAAGTCTAATTTAATTCCTTTCAAGTCTAATTTATATCATGTTATGTCTAATTCAACTTATTTAAGTCTAAAAAACAAGTTGAATTAGACTTAACATGAATCATGTTAAGTCTATTTCAACTTATTTTAAGCCAATTTCAATCATGTTAAATTCTTTTTAAGTCTAATCTAAATCATGCTAAGTCTAATTAAACCTTTTAAAGTCTAATTAAATTAGACTTAAAAAAAGTTGAATTAGACATAACATGATTTAAATTAGACTTAAAATGAATTAAATTAGACTTAATATGAATTAAATTGGACTTAACATGAAATTAGACTTGAAACACGTTGAATTAGACTTAACATGAATTAAATTAGACTTGAAACAATCCTTCTTATCTTTCTTTTCTAACCTTTTCAGCAAACCTCTATCCTCCAGGCTGAGTCCCAACTGGAACTTATTGTACCCTCAAGAGCAAACAGATTTATCCTTCCTTGATCAGCCGTTCTCCCCCCAGGAAATAACAGATGCTGTGTTTGGTCTCCACCCAGAGAAATCCCCAGGTCCTGATGGTCTTCCGACCGGCCTATAAGCCTGATAAACAGCTCTTGCAAGATTTTTTCTAAAGTATTGGCAAATAGGCTCAGAAAAGTAATCCACCTCCTCATTGACAACTCTCAGTCTGCTTTTCAATCAGGCAAATCTTCCTTGGACTCCTTCCTGCTAGGCCATGAAATGATTAACTTTTGTTCCTCAGGGAAAAAGGATGTTTGTGCAATTAAAGTGGATTTTTATAAGGCCTTTGATTGTGTTAACTGGTCCTTTCTTCTATCTCTTTTAGAAGCCAGAGGTTTTGGACCCAAGTGGTGTTCTTGGATCCACAACATCATCTCTTCATCTAAATCAGCAGTTCTGGTAAATGGGACCCCTACCTCCTTTTTCAAATGCTTCAAGGGACTTAAACAAGGAGATCCTCTCTCCCCCCTTCTTTTTCTGTTAGTGGCAGATGTCCTTAGTCAGATGCTTAGATGCAGTGCTGCCTCTGGAGACCTCTCCAACCTTAACTTAAGAGGTAATCTCAACTCGATAAGAACCATACAGTTTGCAGACGATACAATCATCTTCTCTAGGGCTAATCCATCTGACATGGTAACACTTAAGACCATCCTCTCTATTTTTGCCAGTATTTCTGGGCTCTGTGCTAATCATCAGAAATCCAACCTCTTTTACCTTGGCAAAATCCCTCAGAAAGGCAATTCAATGGCTGAAATTCTCGGTTGTACTGTTGGCTCTCTCCCCTTCTCCTACTTGGGTCTTCCTCTGAAAAGAGGTACTCTAACCAAAAGAGAGTGGCAACCTCTCCTAGAGTCCTTCAAAAAGAAGCTCTCCATATGGAAAAACAAAACCCTCTCTATCGGAGGCAGGCTGACTCTTCTGAACTCTGTTCTCTCCTCTATCCCTCTCTATTACATGTCTTTCTTTAAGCTGCCAAAATGGGTTATCAATGCTGTTGATAAAATCAGAAGAAAATTCCTCTGGAATGGCAGTCACAGCTTCTCAAGAGCTAAATTCATTGTTAACTGGGGCACTGTTTGCAAATCTAAAGAAGAAGGAGGGCTTGGGGTGATTGATATCCCCTCTTTCAATTCAGCTTTACTCTCAAAATGGATTTGGAAATTGTTGGACAGACCCTCTTATCTAAGCAAAGTGTTTTTCTCCATTTATTCAAAAAACGGAGCAAACCCACTGGCTACTCAGCCAAAGATGACATCCTCAAGATTTCTTCAAGATCTTTTTGCTATCCAATCAACCTTCTTTAAAATAGCGAGATGGAATGTGGGTAACGGTAACACTGCCAGTTTTTGGCATGACAAATGGTCCTCAACCAATTCCCTTAGCAGTCTCTATCCTCATGCATACAAGCTAGCTCTCTCCAAAAACTGCAGTATCGGCTCCCAAGGTAGATGGACAAATGATTCATGGTGTTGGCATCCTTTAATTAGAAGGGGGATCTCCCCTAAAGAAAGGGCAGACGTTCGCAATCTTCACTCTCATCTAGAGAACATTTCTTTAGGTGGTTCACAGGAGCATGATGTCTTACATTGGCCTCTCCTCTCTACGGGTATTTTTTCTGTGAAATCTTTTTACTCCTTTGTTTCTTCAGGGGGCCAAAAATCAAAGTTCTTCAACATGATTTGGAAATCCAGCATTCCCTTAAAGGTAAAAGTTCATCTTTGGATAATCTCAAAAAGGAAGCTCAACACTAAAGACATTCTAATCAAAAAAGGTTGGTCTGGTGATCCTTTATGCCCTCTTTGTCTTGGGGAAAATGAAACACACGATCATATCTTCATCCACTGCCCCTTTGCTCGAGAAGTTTGGAAGTTCCTTCTCCCCTCCTTTCCAGCTAACAACTGGCCTTTATCTACGGAAGACCTGCTTCTGCTACATATAGTCCCAAACATTAGCCCAGATATTAAAGCTATATGGAAGATTCTTTTGCCTTGTTTTTGTTGGAGGATTTGGTTTTGTAGAAACTCTCTTGTTTTCAAGGATATTCAGCTCAACCCGATGCATACAGCCTCTGATATAGCGAGGTTTTCTATGTTTTGGACAGGTTCAGGAGATGATAGGACGGTGAGGAGGCTTCGAAGGGCAGCTTTAAACCTCGGACTGCAGGAGCTAGCTAAAAAGAATATCCCATCGGAGGAGGGGGGCAACAGTGTCAGAAACTAGCCGTCCCATTTTCCAGTATGAAGTTGAATCTTTTGCTCAATGGAGAAGTCTCCCTTTATTTTGGTAAACTAATAGAAGTACCAAGCTTTGTATAGTCACTATAAGCTTTGTGTGGCTGTTAATATCAAGTTGTTAAGTGTGTTCTGTATCTATCTAGATGTAGGGAACTGCAGTTAAGTGTGGTAGGTGACGACATTGGTCCGCTCCCTACCCACTTCTCCTTCAGTGCTCCCTGACTTCTAGAGAAGTTGTATTCCTCAGTGTAGATACCTTAGCAATATATAAAATGAACAGGGCTTATACCCTGTTTTTCAGGCTCAAAAAAAAAATTAGACTTGAAACAAGTTGAATTAGACATAACATGATTTTTAAATTAGACTTAAAATGTATTAAATTAGACTTAACATGAACTAAATTAGACTTAACATGAAATATACTTTCATGTTAAGTCTAATTCAACTTGCTTTTAGACTTAATATGAAAGAATAGAGGAGATAAACATTTTGGGTTTTTTTTTACTTTTTATTCTTTCTCCATGCTTAGTTGGTATGTAATAATTGCTAAACAAGGGCTATAGAACATAGAATTTTTGCTTTTGGGGCTGAACGACATGTGAAAAAAATGAAGAGATGAAGCACATTAACTTTTTGCTTTTTTGCTTTTGAAGGCTTGACACAATTTTCCCAAAGAAAAAAAAAAAAAACAACTAAACTCTTGTTGGGAAAGTCTCGAAGATTTGAGAGCGAATTCGCAAAGAAGTCGTCCGGTCCAATTGTCGGTCTCCGCAAAATTACATTTTGCCACTCTCTCTCCTGCGTACCTTTCTTCCTCCTCCGACCAAAACCGAACCCTCAGAAATCCCAATTCTCAACCTCAACCTCAACCTCCCAAAGGTCCCGCCTTTAGTTCCGAACCTCAATCGAATCTAGTTCCCATATCCTCAATCCCCTCAATTTGTCTCAATTCCACCCAAACTCAGCCCTGACATAGGAATTTTTTTTCCTTCTGATTTGATCCACCAATTTTCAGTTTTTGGGCATTCTGTAGATCGAATCTAACCCTTTTTTAAACCCTTTTCAATCCCATCAAAGAGATGGCTTCTACTAGCTATCAAACTCCCATGTCCTGTTCCCATCTCCACAGTTTCAAAGAGAATCATGGCATCACCGGCTATAAATCCCTTCGAATCCCCATCAAGCCCTCAAAAAATTCAGTACCCAGATGCTCTTTCTGCTCCAAAACCCTAGGCCGGCTCTACATCTGCTTGATCTGCTCTGAAGTTAACTGTTCAGATCACTTCTTCATCCATATCCAATCAAATGACGGACATGAGATCTCTGTAGACGTAGAAAGATCAGAGCTTTATTGCTTTCTTTGCAATGATCAGGTATATGATCTCGACTTTGATAAGTTCATCGAAATCAGGAGAAAGCGAACCCGAAAGCAGCAAAAATTAGCAAAGAAGGAGGTTGATCAGTATTGGGGATTGAGGGGGATGAATAACTTGGGCAATACTTGCTTCATGAATTCAGTTCTCCAAGCTTTAGTTCACACTCCGCCGTTGAAAAATCACTTCTTGGGGCACAGAGAGGTTTGTAGGCTGAGGAGGAGGAGGAGGAGAGCTGCAGGTGGAGCTGGGGAGGTTTCGTGTTTGGCTTGTGATTTAGATGGAGTTTTCTCGGCGGTGTTTTCGGGTGAGCGGATGCCTTATAGCCCTGCCCAGTTTCTTTACAGGTTAGGATTTGTGTGAATTATATGCAGTTCTTTTATAGGAATTGATGTAGATTTACAATGAGTTGAATGACTTTAAGAATGATATATTACTGGTCTTCAGTCTGATGTAAATGTTGCTATTTAGTGGTTCATAAAGTTCAACTAAGGCCTCTGATGAGAGAGAGAGTTGCATGAATGTAATTTTGTAACAGAGAGGACCATTGAATAATTCAAGGCATTTGAGTTGTGTAATTCAGGAATGTGAATGTAATTTTGTAACAGAGAGGACCATTGAATAATTCAAGGCATTTGAGTTGTGTAATTCAGGAATGTTAATTGATCAGTTCTCTCGGTCCACTGCTTGAATAATTCAAGGCATTTGAGTTGTGTAATTCAGGAATGTTAATTGATCAGTTCTCTCGGTCCACTGCTTCTCCTACTGATAATTTATGCTCTTTATGTTTAAACTTTCGGTTGACAAATAGAATGCCATTGTGTGTGCTATGGTAATATGAACCAACTGTCGTATTTGATCATTCCTCTTAAACTGTTTGCCTTTCTTCTCTTCCTCTGTCTTAAAGCTGTCATCTAATTTACGAGTGAGCCAATAGCTCATTCACTTGCATCCTTGCCTCTGCAGGCACAAAAGAATGTACATACATGCTAAAAGAATGTATGGATATAACTGCAGTTGCTTGATCTTTACCTTATACATCCCCAGTCGAAACCTTTAATCATTTTGCAATTGATGTGGCCCTATTGGATACAATCATGCTGATATTTCCCATGTTACTTCAATGTTGTACATGCTTTGTATGTTCTGCAAATACTGCATGTTGCAATGCAAACAAAAAAGAGGGGAAAAAAGAAAGAAAGAAACTAGTGAAGAAAGAAAAGAAATTAGAAATAAATTTCTTTCTTTTTTATTATTTAATTTGAAATGATTGTCAGAAATAAAACATCATCAATTTTTCCATTTACTTTTTTGTCATACAGTTGGTGGCAGCATTCAACTACCCTTGCTGGTTATGAGCAGCAAGATGCCCATGAGTTCTTCATCTCAATGCTTGACCGGATTCATGAGAAAGAGCAACCTAACCATTCAAATAAAGGTATTGACTCTCTTCGCTATCATTAAAACCAGTTTTCTCTTACCCAAAGCCGTTCTATCCTTAAATGAAGTGAAGACTTGTTCAGTAAAAGCAACCACTTTAGAAGCACTTTAATATTGTCTTTGTTTACTTATCTTACGTATTATAAGTTAGGGTAAATTTCACTGAACCCCCCTGAACTTGTCTTACTTAACCCCCCCAAAGTAACACCGTGAACTTTGACCGGTCACGTGCCAAGCATGTGACAACGAAGGACCAAAAAATCCTCAGTTTAGGAATTGCCCCCTTTATCCTTAAATGAAGTGAAGACTTGTTTAGTAAAAGCAACCACTTCAGAAGCACTTTAATATTGTCTTAGTTTACTTATCTTACGTATTATAAGTTAGGGTAAATTTCACTGAACCCCCCTGAACTTGTCTTTTAAAAGGGCATTTTTGTCATTTCATCATTGACAGGTAACATCGGCAGGGGGTATGTTGTAATGTTGTAGAAACTTCAACGTTCAGGTGGGTTAAGTGGAATAAACAAAGTTCAGGGAGGTCATGTGCAAAAGCCTTCGTGTGCAAAAAAACCCCCAAAGTTCAGCGGTGTTAAGTGAAATTTACCCAATAATCTATAAAGTATCCTTCTATCTGATGTAGCATTTCTTGTGTTAGTAGGGATTGGAGACTGCCATTGCATTGTCCACAAAGTTTTCGCAGGGATTTTAAGATCAGATGTCACTTGTACCATTTGTGGATTCACTTCCACCACTTATGATCCATGTGTTGACATCTCTCTTGACTTGGAACCAAACAATGGAAGCTCAGTGTCTGCTGGTAAATCTACCAAACAAAGCTCGAACCCTATAACATCAACTCTCATGGGATGCCTCGATCATTTCACAAGACCGGAGAAATTAGGAAGCGACCAAAAACTCCATTGCCAAAATTGCCAAATAAAGCAAGATTCAGTGAAGCAAATGTCCATCCGAAAACTTCCTCTAGTCCTCTGCTTCCACATTAAAAGATTCGAACACTCTTTAATCCAAAGAACATCGAAGAAGATCAACCAATATGTAAAATTTCCATTTTCACTTGATATGACCTCATATTTATCCTCATCTATTATAAGAAAAAGATTTGGGACCAGGATATTTGCCTTTGAGGGGGATGAATCTGAGGTTTCGAGTTTGTCTTCAGAATTTGAAATATTTGCTGTGGTTTCTCATATGGGTCAGATGGAATCAGGCCATTATGTGACGTATCTTCGGTTGAGGGATCAATGGTATAGATGTGATGATGCTTGGATCACTAAGGTGGATGAAGAGATTGTGAAGGCTTCACAAGCCTACGTGATGTATTATGTGCAGAAAGTTTTGTACCATAAGGAAGGAACCAATATGAATTCCTATCCTTCTTCGAGGTGTTGCTAAGGAAAAGGAGTTTTCGAGGGAAAAGAGGGCGCTCCATACTATTATGAAGGGTTAACTGCGAATAGACCCCCTGTGCTATTGCCCAATTGTGGATCGTCCTCCTACAGTTCCATTTGTGCATATAGGCTCCCTGAGCGATTCTTTTTACTCTCCTTTACCCCCAGGAGGTCTATTGTCAGAAAACGATTTTCGGGGTGAGAGAGTAATAAATGATAATAGTAATAAAACATTCTGGGGGTCCATCTACAATTGGGTGATAGTACAAAGGGTCCATCCATAACTGACCCTATTGTAAAAGTAAAGGAACAGTAGCCTCCGCGACCAAGGGATGAAATGTATTTCTTCGAAACTCTTGCTTCTTCTTCTGCTTGAAGACTCTTCTTACAGAGAATAGTTCTTGAGGTCTGATTGGGATGAAAAGTTATTCATACACGGGAACATGAAACCAAAAAAATAAAAGGCAGGGAAAGTGCTTACTAAGTGAACGGTAACGGGAGAGATCGCTGCTGTTTCCTCTACATTACCTTGTTTTTTGAGTATGGTAATGTTCGTTTCTACTCTTCTGATAACTTACATTGTAATTGTTTTTGAAGTTACAACGCTTACCTCTGACTGTTCATATGTACCTATTAGCTTATTCTCGTCCAAGTTAGACAAAAGGATCTGAAAAAATGTTCAGATTGATTGCATAAATGTAAACATTGCTGCAGCTGATGAAGGAAAAGGATTCTTGTGGCTGTTGTTGGTGTACAATTTGGTGGTGGTTTTTGTTTTGGATGGGAACTTTGCGATGAATGGCTAATTGTGGTGATTTTTTTAGCATATGGGGATTGTTGTCTAATCCAAAATAGTTTTTGTTTGCTTCCTGTTTTTGCTATTTTGCACAATATATAAACTATATAACTTTTAGGTCGGTGTCTTTTTAAAAAAAAAAAAAATTTCGTGAGCTTTAGAATGTATAAATCATAACAAACGGTTTGAATCTTGAATGTAGATGGGGAACATGCATTTTTATATGTGTATGCTTATTAAGTTACAGTGTATTGTAACCTTACCCTACTTATATCTGGTTTAATATTTTAGCTCGGTGAGGCTTTATCCCTTGACAAAAAGGTTGGGATCACATCATAAAAGCCTAAGGTTCAATTATATCTCTGTATTTTTCAAAAGAAAAAGTCCAAACAACATACACACGAGAAAGAAGAAATTTTCAAAACAGTCTCAAACCAGATTTTAATTTAAAAAACCGATCCATTTTTTGCCACCCAACTTAATCTCATTTCCTAATTAGTCGGGGTTACCAACCCCGACTATTTATGGCATAAAAAACCAGGTTTAAGACTTCTAATTGGGGTTTAACAACCTTCTAAACAGTCGAGATTACTAACCCCGACTGTTTAGGAATGTGATTAAGCTGACGTGGCAAAAAGTGAGTCGATTTTGGTAAAAAAAGTCGGTTTTTCAAATTAAAACATGGTTTGAGGCTGTTTTGAAAATTTCTTCCAGGAGAAACTTTTAAAGCGCCCGCAAAAATAAAGAAATAATATATGTTTCTACGCTTTAGTTTGCGGTCGTTTGATAAATATGTTATCTGCGTATGTTTTGATATCTGTATCTACTTTTCTATTTTTCATTTTCATAGAATAATTATTATAAAAATATTACACATGTGATGATGACAAGCGGGCAACAAGTTGCGCCGCTAATCCTTTCTGAATTGAGGCATAAATGTATATTTTTTAGTTTTAGTTTTAGTTGCGCCGCTAATCCTTTCTGAATTGAGGCATAAATGTATTCTATTTTAGTTTTAGGGTAATGTATATTTTTTTATTCTACTGAATGTTTGAGGCATAAATTAAGTATAAATAATCTTTTGATTTACAGCATTGGACGTAATGCTAAATATAAAAAAAAAGAGGAAGTTTTGGTACTGTTTGGCAACCAAAAAAAGTATCTTATCTAAGAGCTTGTGTCTTATTGACTTGGTCAATAAGCTAGTAGAGCTGTTTGGTAACCAAAAATAGGAGGAGATTATTTTAGAGATTGTGTCTTTTGCAAGTAGCTTTTGGAAAGCTATCTCAAGTAGCGTTTGTCTTTGGGAAGGAGCTGTCAATTTTTTTCTTCTGTTTTTGCCCCTAATAATTCTAATTTTATATCAATAATATTGCATGACCTTTTTAGTCATTTAACAAATTTAAGCTAGTTGTACAGCTTCTTTTACCAAACAGCTCTAGTCAATCACCTAGCTACACAGCTATCAGCTTTCAGCTACAATTTCACAGCTTTCAGCTAGCTTGACAGCTTTCAGCTATAATCTCGCAGCTTTCAGCTAGTTTTGCCAAACAGAGCCTTTGTGTTGAGCCGTGCCAATATTTTTATGAACAGTAAGTTTTTTGGTTAGTGGAGCGACCTTAACATCCAAGGATTATCCTTTTTAGATACTCGGCATTTACAACTAATCATTACAACAAATATTTCCTAATTTGGGCATCGCTAATAGAATTAAGCATTCCTAATCCCTTTCACTACCCTTCTCTATTCTCCCGCCAAATATTTCCCGCCTCTTCATTTTCCATTCCCCAAAAATGACCCCCCTTTCCTCCTATGACCCGTTATCATCAGTAATTAATCCCCCCTCTCCCTCTCTCTCTCTCTCTCAAAAACCCTAATTTGTTAACCGCCTCAGTCCGCAGCTCAAAACCCTAGGAATCGAAGAAGAAGTCGAGGGAAGGGGATGTTCTACTCTCACACCTTTCTCGCGAAAAAGAGCCCCCTGGGGACCGTATGGATCGCTGCTCACTTGGAGCGAAAGATCAAGAAGCACCAGCTCAACGAAATCGATGTCGCCTCTTATGCTGGTTCGTTGATTCTCCCTTTCTCCCTCCCTCTTCTGGATTTTTTTTATCTGATCTCCGTGGTAAAAAAAAATTCCTCCTTTACCCCAGCTTTCTGGGTTTTTTTTTCCGACTAGTTTTGTTGTTAGGGTTCGGCTTCTTGATTTTCGCGGGGGCAATTTCTTCCTTGTTCGTCAATAGATTAGGGTTGCTATCGAGGGTTTCTATTTTCTTTTTTTAGGAATTGGGTTTTGATCTCTCCGGTAAAGATTTCGCATACCCCACTTTTTCTAGGGTTTTCGGGTTTTCCCATTGTAAGTTTTTGGTTTATTTATTTTTCATGGAATCAGTTAAAAAGATAGATTTTTTTTCCGGTGAAGAATAATGGTTTGAAGCTTATCTTCGACAAGAGATATTGGGGTATTGTTTTGTTGATCTCCTCGTAGTAAAGACGTCTCCTTTTCCGTTTTTCCGGGATGCAAACAGTAAAGTATAAAGCTTCATTCTAATTATTGAAGAATGTGTATGATTTCTCTAGAATTTCAAGTTTCTTTTCATTGTTAGGTTTTGGTTTATTAATTTTGTGGAGTAAAGTTTGTTTCTTCCCAAGGAATTGGTTAAAGAGAATTATCTTTTGGAGAGAATTGGGTTGGACTGTTTGTTTCAGTAAAATTTGATGTTGTAAAGCCCATGTTTGTCAAAAGAAATTAGCGTTTTTAATTTTCTTCCCCTTTTAATCTTCTTTATCATGTTAGTGCAGATCATAGTGTAGTAAACTTCCGCATACAATCTTTAAAGGTTGATTTATTCACAGATTAATAAGATAATTTGAATAATTTTTTTTAGATTCACCTAGTAAATATATATAAATGAAGGGGTTTCAATATGATAACCCTAGAATGATGCCAACTTAGGAACTTGAACGAGTAGAAGCTAGAAGCTTAAGTAATCATTCAATCCTACGCTAGGAAGAATGTGTTTCACTTATTTGGAGCATTTAACTCAGCTTTCATCTTTCTTCAATAGAATGTATCATGCATGTTCCCTGAAGTTCCAATTGCTCTGAGATTATCAGGGCACCTTCTTTATGGTCTTGTCCGGATATATTCAATGAAGGTCAAGTACCTTATTCAGGACTGTAATAGAATGGTGGATGATATAAGAAGAGTTTTCACATCTGTGCAAGTTAATCTACCAGGTGAAGCGGACCATGCCCCGGTGGATGATATAAGAAGAGTTTTCACATCTGTGCAAGTTAATCTACCAGGTGAAGCGGACCATGCCCCGTTTGAATCTCTTACCTTGCCCAGCACTTTTAATCTTGATGCCATGGAGTTGGACTACTATCCTATAGAGTAACTTTTGTTTTTCCCTTCTCGGTTCTCAGTGCATACTTAAATCATAGAAGGTAATTTACACTTTTTTAACCCTTTAACATAATCTTTGTTTTCTATTTCCAGTGAACCTGATAATCACCGGAAACCACATGATCAGATTACTATTCAAGGTCATCTTTTGCTTCCATTTATTTTCTATTTTCTTCAACATTGTTTGTCCTTCAATGTAAATCTGTATACTAATGGAATCAGCATGCTCACAGATCAAATGTTGTTTGAAGAAGAACAATATGTGTCTATCTTTATCGATGAGGTCTCAGTCTTTGCTACTAGTCTGTTTATTTTTGAAATCTCTGCTATTGTTTTAATGCGCACTACTTTGTTACTATATGCTGACAGGATAAGAGAACTGATAGCTCTCCTCGGCCTAACACTTCAAATCCTAGTGCTGAGCCAATGGAAGAAGAGTAAGTCTCATTTTGAAGGATTGTGTAGTGTTATGACTTATGTGAGCCACCAACCAGAATTTTTTTTGGAACTTATTGATGATATATCCGTTTTAGTATTTTACCACCACCTGAGGGTGAACGCATTGATCTTGATACTCATAACGACAATGGTGTGGGCATCGGATGGGAAATGAGTATGTATAGGTGTTTGAAATGATCCCTCATTTTATAAATATATACAAACATTGAGAACATTGATAATTTAATTGATTGTATATTTACTTGCAGTTTTTTGCTTCCATTTGATGATAACGATATCGGTGATCTCGATACTACTGCCAAAAATGTGGTGGGTACTGCAGATCATGCTCCAAATACTCTTAATGAGGCCCATTTCTCTCATGAGTCTCCTGAAATCATGCGTGATGCTGTACATTATTCTGAACGAGAACTGGATGGTACCACTAATGACTTTGCTGGAGTTAATGAACAATCTGTTCCTTCCTTCAGCAAAGATGGGAATCTTTCTCCAATAGCGGAAGGCTTGTCTGCCTCTGATGAGGGATCTGTTCCTTCTGCAGCTCATAACAAGGTTACAGCTGTTGCATCGGCAGATGACCTTAATATTCCGAGTGCAGTGATTTCTTTGGGTTTGTTTCTTGCCTCTTTAATCATTGAGTTCATTTGAGATATTTGGTCATTTGTTTCTTAAAAACAATCATTGCAACTTGCCTTTCTCTATTGAGGTGTGTCTTGTAGTATCAGTCATGGTCTTGGTATGACATGTTGCAGGACAGCACTTACCTGATGTGGAACTTCAACCCTCTCCACCAGTAAATCAGAATACGAGGAGGAAGAGGAAGATGAAACAGTTTTTTGATCAATCTATAGTGTTGACTAATGCGTGAGTATATTGATTCTCAAAAAAAAACCCTCTCTTTTCAAGGTGTTGGGTGTTTACAAGTTGTATGCTAGCAATTTAGAAAACTCTATTACAATTGGTTGCATGTTAGGCAAAGTCTCACTCATGTTGTATGCTCCATTGTTTTGTCTCAGTTTATTTCTTTTCCCCCCCTCTAAACATACAAAAATACTGTTTTATTTTGGTTAATAACACTGGAAAGTAATAACCAAAAGTCCATTGATATTATAGGCTAAATTCACTAGAAACTCATGAACTTTCTATAATTGTGAAACAGATAACTTGGGTTATCATAAATGTGCAACTGACATGTGGATCTAGGGCACTTTTTCATCAAACTTCTTGTCTAATGGGCCACCCCCACCCCTACCATTCTAAATCTCAAACTAATGCAGTGTCAACACTTACGCAGTTCAAGTTGTTTCTTTCTTCTATAATTATGTTGGTATCACTATGATGAATACATTTTGGGAACTCTTTCTACAGTGAAGTAAAGGCACAACTTGACAACACTAGTGCATTAGTATGCAAACGGAGGAAACTTCCTTGCTCAGTTCTTGATTTATGGAGATTTAGCAGAACTCGTCAAAATGACAGGACCTTCCATGAGCCCTTGCTTCATGGTGAGCTTCACTGCTTACTGCATCTATCTCATGACCACACAACCACAAACACATTCAGAAAACCATTAGGATAAATGTTCTTTCTCTTTCTTTTTTTAGTGTAACAAACTGTTTAATGAGGTGTCACATGCTTATACTCAGGGATGTCTGATAGACTGCGAGAAGTTTTTGAAAGAAGATTTCCTCGAGTATCTGAATCTATTTCATTAGAGACTTCTTCTGGACACATGGATGCACCTGAGGTCGAACCCGTTCTTCCAGACATGGATGTGGAACCTGAGCGACTACGGTTTGCTAACAATGCCGATGAAGTCACAGATGACTTGGTCCGACCTGCTTCAGAGAGAGAAGAGTTCACTCCCTCTACTGCCAAAATTTTGGGTTCAGTTTCAGACAAAGGCAGGAGTATTGAGCCTGAGGTACTGCCCACTTTCGAAAAATCTGCATCAGCTGAACCAGTTAGGCCTGAGCTTGCTACGCCCACTATATCAGTTAATTTCGATGAAGAACTGCACCTGGATGATAGTAATATAAGGGGATTTCCAACTCTGCAAAATTCTACTGATATAGAAGTAAGTGCAAATATGTTAGAAATATCTAACATCTGCATTTCCAACTCTGCAAAATTCTACTGATATAGAAGTAAGTGCAAATATGTTAGAAATATCTAACATCTGCATGTGCTTATGGTTTTATCATGAATGATATAGAAGTAAGTGCAAATATGTTAGAAATATCTAACATCTGCATGTGCTTATGGTTTTATCATGAAGTTTTTTTGGCAATACTGAGAAGAATATGAAGCTCCCACGTTCTTTTCATCATCATCAGTTTCCTCTTTTTCACTGTTATCATGGACTTATTTAAACTGAATTCCTGTCCTTTCTTGCAGGAATTAACTTTTTTGGAAGCAAGCAATGCATCATCAAGTAAGCTGCAAACATTCAGATAGTTTTTTTCTCGTGGATGTTAATTCATATTATTCTTGCTCCATGCTTTTGAAGTATTTAACGGGTAGGTTCTTATATCTGCAGGTTGTGATGTAACTGAAGCTGGAACTATGTCTGCAACAACAAGGTAAAAGATATTCCAAGCATCTTTCTACATTGTTTGCTGTTCAGTGGGTTTTCCCTCTTCTGACTATGGGCAATGGATAATGCATTTTTTGCAGGAAGGTTGCACAATATCTAAAAGAGCTCTCCCCTACTGACTATACTCCTGAAAACCAATCGGGATGTTTGAGTTTGAATACAATTTTGGAAAGGAAAACAAGAAAACAATGTGCACGGATGTTCTTTGAAACATTGGTAAGTGGTTATTATATCTGACATTGTTTTCTCAAATCATCTCAAATTAGAAAAGTCCCCCTATAGGTTTGTGTTGTGTATTAGTCATTTTGGTTCTTTGATTCTTGGTATAATATTAAATTTTCGATGAGTCAGGGATATGCATCGATGTCTACAATCACAATGTGAAAGGTTTTGAAACACTTCACTGTGCCTGTTAAACAATAGCCTCACATTAGTAGACAAAAAGTATGTTCAGCAGCAACAACAAAACCTTTATCCCAAATTCTTTGGGTCAGCTAACAAAAACTATGTTCAGTTGGAAAATTTATCGTGATGGTAAAACATGGGAGTATGTTCATAAACTTAGAAATCGTTCAACTGTGATTGCTTCTGGCTCTGGAGTAAAATCTGAATACAATCCAGTTGGGGAAGGAAATTTTACAAGATGTTTATAACTCTGTAAGGACCAACCATGCTCTATATTACAAGAGTTGGGGCAACTAATTAAGAAATTATGTGTAATATGAGAATGTTGAGATGTATGAGAAGTAAATCCTTATAAGAGGTATCTTCAATTGATAGATTTGTTATTTTGTTTTTTTTTATTGATGGGGGGGGGGGGGGGGGGTGGTCGGCTCCATGATGTGTTTTAAGCTTATCCTCATATGGACAGCTGTTAATGGGTATAGATATTTACTATGAGGGTGTGTGTGAATGAATTCGTGCTGAACTAGGCCACTCTGATATTAAAATTAATTCAGAAGGAAGAGATAAAACGGGTCTAAAGTCTTGGCTAATACTCACACATTTACATTATCACATGGGATTTAAGCGTACCCATCAAATTCATTTAAATTGGTCAAGACTATCGATGTTGGTCATTAATGACTAACACTAGAAAATTGATGCCTGAAGTACTAAAATGTGATTTGGTTGTGTTATATTAGAAAGAAAAGAATGATAGAGAGGTTGCCATTAAACTAACTTATTCCATGTTCCAATAAACTGTGATCAGTATTGCTAATCAATACCCATAAAGGTGAGTCAAAACTCAATTCCAAGCTAATCTTGGTAAGAACATAAAATGAATATGGTGGTTGCTAACTTGCATCTGAAAACTAATGGACATTAAAAAAAGGACACAGCTAATCCTGAAGGATAGGGTACAACCTTCTTTTTGCTGTTTCAGACAATATTTTACAGTATGATGTTTGATATTCATTTTGTATGCTTTAATAAACATATTTCTGTCCTAGTTGGATTTATCTCTGACAGCAAGGATTCATGGAATATATTCATTGAATCAGATTGTTATTTTTGCATCTGATCCTGTTGTAATACTTTTCTTTATAGGTCTTAAAAAGCTATGGTCTCATTGATGTACAACAAGAAGAAGCTTATGGTGATATCTTAATTTCTCGGACTCCTGCACTTTCATCGGCCAAATTCTGAGTTTCCAAATAGATTTGCTTTCACACTATGAGTAAGATAATCACCTGAAAAAGAACCATGCCTTGGTGCATACATTTGAATTTACTCAGTGACAGTTTGGTATTTTTGCTAGTTACTGTTTCTCATTTGACATAATTCTATGTTTTGATCTGCAGCATCGATTGCTGGACTAAGGTTGACTTGTTACTGGGCAAATTATGGATCAACTGAAAGCTAGGCGGTTATGTGTTCTTCACATAAGGTTATATAAGTTATAGTTTTCCTGTATACATTCTATCAGGGCCTTATGATCGTTGGATGTCTTTTTGTAATTATTAGTTGGATAATTTATGTCTTGTCATCAATATATCAGAAGGTTCCTCCATGACTTCTTTCTGTTTGTGCAAAAACAGTTTTTAGCACTACTTCAGTACTAGCTTTGAGTTTTATGGATTTAGCTAATATTGTAGAGACTAGAGTAGAACTGATAATTAATTGGACATTTCTTGAAATTCACATCCGTTGCATACGTGGATAAATTAATCTATACAGTTATAAGCACATGATCATTAAACAAAATTTTCTTTTTAACGGTTCAATGACTAAAGCTGTTATTTTGGTTAAGCTTGAGCATGAATTCTTCAATTTATGAGTGAAACTTTGTTAAGTTACTTAGGTATATTGAAATGAACATTCAAGGCCAAATTTCATTTAATTCCTCTAGAATTATTTCATTGAACTCACTTAACTCCCTCGTAAACCTGCTTGCTACATTTTAAATTTCCTTCAAAATGACATGATCATTCCCCAGTGCAAACTCTTCAACCCTTAATAGTATCAAACTACTTGGCTGGTCTTTAAGCTCTGATCAAATTCAAATCTTTGAGGCATTATGGACGGAAGGCCTTGTGAATGAAGAAGTGAATCTCACCTTTACATAAATCATTGGCATTTCATTATGGAGAATACAGACTAAACGTCGGAACTGACCAATTCCCCTCTTTCCCCTCAGGCTTCTTCAAGAAGTGGTTTTATCTTGGTGTCATTTTCTACTGTCAAATTTTCTTCAATTTCAGTTTTCATAAGAACATTGGTAGGAAGAATCATTGAATGTTGATCACTCTTTGGCACTAAGAATAACAGGGCCAAGGGAACCACTCTCAGAACATTCCTAATCAAAACAGCTAACCATAGGTTATCAAACTCCGTTCGAGTAACATTCAAGATGTTAAGCAATAGACCGCCTCCCCATGAGGACGTGAGCAAACCACTGTGATCTATGGACATTAGCAAAGCAAAGAAGGTTCCTTCGATCCCGGAAGGGCAAAGCTTTGAGCTCAGCACTAGGATTGGCATCCATCTAACACGTCCAATCATCTGAGATACACTTTCATCAATCACAGCAAAGAGTTTATCAGGCATTCCTAGATTCAGGTTAAGTCGTAATACTAGAATTAGGTCTAGCATTCCTGTAAGGCTCGAGAGTAACTGGCTCCAAAAGAGAAGGCATCGGAATGGATAGTCCTTTAAAGAGTTCTGGTAAAGTAGGACACCGAGGAGAGACCCCACTGATCCAATGGAGAAAATAAAACTGATTGTCCCCTGCACCATAAGAAAACCCCTAAACCTATGTTACTTTGCAAATCTATAACTTCAAGTTGGAAAAATCTGCAACTTCAAGTTGGAAACAACTGAAACAGGCTCTAGATACCTGAGAGAATGATGGGCCTGTTTCAGTATCAGTGTACCAATAGAACATTCCTTCTTGAATGTTTAAACTCAGAGCAAGAGACATGTACATAAATATGCATGGTCTCCAGACTTCAGGGCATTTTAAAGTCGCCCACATTGTTCGATTTGCTTGAGATAGCTTGTGATGAACCTGATTGAAATTGAAAGCATGAGAAAAATGAGTAGCAAGATACCGCAATCTTTGAGAATACAAGCTTATTTTACCTTTTGGTATGCAAAATTTGGTACGTGGACCTCCTTCAATACCATTCCAACAGAAAATACCAAGGCTGCAGGTATGCTTAATAATCCAAGAACTCCCTTTTGATCATGAAATAGAAGGTTAAACATCAAAGATAGAGTTTTATTGCCAGTTTCAGAGAATAAATTATAAGCTAACCTGAGAACTAAATGCATGCATGAGGAGACCACTTATAGAAAAGCCCAGAAGCCCTCCTACAGATGAACAAAACCCGCATAAGCTTTGCATGTCAGCAGCGAGCGAAGGGTGACTTATACTATTCTGGGCAACACATGCATCGATCGTGACATCTGATATTGCTACTGCTGCGCTCCCTGCAGTAAGCAATAGCAGTGCTAGGACAGTACATGATTCACTCTGTAGCCATAGTATTAACATAGAAATTGCTCCTAGAAAACCTGCAATTTTTTTTGTAAAGAAATAACTTTTAGCTCAAAGTTTCCTGTCAATGATAGAAGCAGAGAGAGGACATCATGATTCAGAATTGCGGGACTCTGAGAAGTACTAATTAGATAATGATCATAATTTAACTTGTGATATGAACTGGTCATCAACTATGCTTAAACAACACAAGTGGTGGAATTTGTGGTGTAATCGGAATGTTACAGTTTCGGCTATTTTCTATATTTTTCACAACCCGATATTTGAGATCTTATCAGAAGCTATCTTGAGGAGAAACGAGATGGAATATGGATGCCAATCCATTACCTGGTAATAATGTCGAGGATATAATTTGCTTCCATTTATTAGATGACCTGTTATATTAGAAGTTCTATGTTATTTTGAGGGGTTAAGTTCTGTGTGAATGCTAACAAATATTTGTTTCTCTCCATCCTGGATATTGTTCCTTTACCTAAATCTAATAAAACATCAGCGAGCCTGCAGTTCACAATTTATCTTAAAAAGCAGAATTCGAGGTTGTTACAATAACAAGCGACCAACATAAATAACTAAGATAATAACTTGCCTGCAAAAATGAAATATGGCCTCCTCCTATATCCAGCAACTGGAAGTACATCAGTGAGAATCCCCCACAAGGGCTTAATAATCCAAGGGAGAGTAGTAATCCCTTGATACACCTGAGCCTCTGATGGCATCACTCTTTGAACATCCTTCCAATAATAATCCGACGCCACTTTGCATATTGCGCCCCCGAGCCCTTGGCTTATTCCATTGACAGCAACAACACCATACACAAAGCTCCAATGCATTTCTTTTGCGAGCATTTTGAACCAATTGAATGGCGAAACAATAACAGAATGGAACATTGAGGGTTCTGAATTCTTCGACATCGCTTATCTTGATTCTGGGAAGTTTTTCCCCCCCAGATAGAATAGAGTTTAGAATATTAGAAGGTTGGCAGTCTCATGGGTATCTATGAATTTTGAATTCTATTGGAGTTAAAATATATTGAAAGATCTTTGCATGGGTCCAAGGCCCTGAAGGGAGCAAGAAGTTGTATGCTATTTTTCAAAGTTGCCGAGGGGGAAGCTCTGATTGACGCCATGCTTAAAATGAGGAGCAGGTTTTTGGTGATGGAAGAGCTAAAGACACCCACAAAAGGACCCGATAATGGAAAAACCTGAATATTTGTTTCTCTGAAGCTGAACGGTGTCATACTCAGTGGGTCTCAAAAGCTGGTCTCTTTGGATAAATCCGAAATGTCCTTGATTATGTTGCTATTCACCTTACTGCAAGATCAAGAATCTACAAATAATGGACCCTTCTTTCCTGGTAATTCCCTCTAAGGCATTCTGTTGTATTTTATTGCAGTACTGCTCTTTTTAACCTGTTTGTGATAATTTGTTAGCTCCTAATGAGAACCTACAGTATTGTGCAAACGGGTCGGGTCGGATTGGGTCTATGCCTATATTACTTGCTTGGTTCAAACCCGAAACCAAAACGGTCCAGGTTATTGGTTTTTTTTTTTTTCATTGATCTTTTATTTGTTTAAAACACATTTGCATTTTGGTCGTCATTGGATTTTGGATGAGGTTCAAAAGAAACGAGCCTCAATTAAATCTTGCACGGATTTGAATTCTTTACAGAGCCCCCTGTAGATGCTGTTGAGATCATAAGATTATGGATCCTATATACGTCAATTATAGGATTCATGATCAATGTCCTTCATAAATGATTGATTGCTGAGTGCAGAATTCAATGCTGAGCTTTGTCATTTCTAATAATTTGCCATATCATGGGATAACATTAATTATTAGTCGGGAATTATCAACTTAAAAAAAAAACAATTTAAAGTATGCTTCATCATGTGCATCAACATTCCTCCTTTTTAATTTCGTAGATCACGTGAGGCTCAAATGCATGCAGTTCTTTCTGTACTGCGAGTTTTAATTGCTCCGAATAATTTCTGACCTTTTAATTTATTTTAGTTGTTATTACTGCTCACCTCAAATTAAAAACTGCTACTACTGAAACTACACCTAAAATTTACGCAGAAATCTAAAGTCTGGGGAATATTGATTTAGTACTAACAATTTATTTTGATATCTATATATATGAAAAAGTCTATATCATGCATCAGATTATTACAGTCGATCGATTCCCTCTCTCAGTTACACAACCACAACCAAACTCATACGAACTTAAGACAAATTAAAAGCTGCAGGAGAACCAAACACCAAAAGGATCCAGCTAGCTAATTAACTAACTGTAACTACACTTCTCCTCTCCAAATCCAACCCTTGCTCCCACATTATCATACACAACCCTCTGATTCTTCTGCTGAAAATTTCCAATGATCCCTACTCCATCTTCATCAGCGAGGCTCGTCATCGCCAAGCAAACCTGCGACGCATCCTTCTTAACAAAGTACAATATCCCGCTCACATCCACATTCATCTTCGCGCCTCCCTCAAACCCCAACCCTAATTTAGGTACCCTGACTTCCTCATACTTGCTCAAATCAAAACAGGTGTCCAGTATCAAATATGCCGCTGTTGTGGGATACCCCGAAAACTGCTTCAGGAACTCGTCCCTGACGGCGTTATACAACGAAGGAACGAGCCTTGTTATGACCGTGCCAGAATCAATCAGAACCCTACTTCCCTTTGGAAGCCCCAACTCGACCTCTCCCACTCTCACATTAGTCACGTTAAGGAAGTAGAAAGGAGCCTGTCTAGGCCCTTGCAACATCCTAGTGTAAGCAAGGGGGGTGGCATTCTTGTAACTGGACGAGTCGCTGCCGAGGATTAAGTTTCCTGATGAATTGTAGACCCTAGAGGGCAGACAATATGAAAACACTCCCCGAAATTGGGCCTTTGTTTGGGACACAAGCGATAGTTTCGTCCTGCCCAGCCCTACGAGGCCCGACGCAATTCCGAAAAGCCCACCGTTACTCATCCCGCATCCGAAGATGAAACCTTGAACCTCGGCATCGCCAAGGCTGATGCGCTCCAGCGCTAAGACGCCTCGTGTGTAGGATCCGTCGCCATAACGAAGGGAATAGCCACAGTCTGTCATGTTACCGCAAGCGACGGAAGCGAAGATGGAACTACAGGAAGTGGAGTTACAGGGAACTGGGTGGTAAGTGGAGGAGGCTGAAGGGTCATAGAGGGGCTTTTGTTGGATGTAGCAATTTACGCAGGGCTTGCATTGGACCCAGGTGAGGTCGCTGCCCGTGTCGACGATGACTGGCATGGACGCATTGGCTATTTTGATGTCGATGATGTAGTTGAGGGTGTGGAGTGCAACTCCGGGAGTGAGGGGGAGTCGAGTTACAGGTTGTTGGAAGTGAGGGGGTCTGAGTTGGGATTGGAGGGAAGAGGCTCTTGCATTGTCTGAGAGTAGGAGCTGCTCATGAAAATTATTGACCGAGGAGGGAGAGATTTGGTGCTTCAGCTCTAGCAATGCAGAGCTCTTCGGCGCAGTTCCTGTAAAGTCAAAAAAAAAAAAAAGTTTTGAGTTTAATTATACTGGATGATGCAGATTTTAAAAAGAATTAATGCTGATATTTGAAGAAATGGCGAGAGAGTACAGGAAAACATCATAAGAATCAGCCAGGCAGACTGGCGATCGACCGCCGCGGTCGACCGCGTACGTGCACAAAGGCCACTAGGACTCGGAGCTGAAGGTGGTCGACCGTGACGGTCGACCGCGAGGACCCTGTAGGTGATTTTTGGTCTCGGGATGAGATTCGGTCGACTAATCAATTTAAGTCTCGGGTTTGTGGTTCGGTCGACCGCTGCGGTCGACCGCCGCGGTCGACCGCAGACTGATTTTGGGTTGGGCTTTGGATTTTGACCCGGTTCGTTTCTGAGTTGATATATAACCCTAAACCTGATTAATTAGGGTTAAGCAATGACGATTTTGAGCAGTCTTTGAGAGAGGATTATTGCATCTAATTGTGGGAGATTTGTGAGAGATCTAGAGCTTTGTTTTAGGATTTGATCGGTGAGATTTGTAACTCTATTTGTATTCTCTTGATTTCTAATAATAAGAACTCCCCCTTCCTTACCCCGTGGACGTAGGTAACTTGTCGAACCACGTAAATCGTTTATTCTTGCTGTGGTTGTGATTTGCTTATTGGTTGTGGTTTATCTCTTAGATTGTTCGTGTCGCTCCTCGAAACTTCCGCCGCGCACAACAATATTTGGGAAACGATTAATGCAAAACATGAAAGACTTGTTATAGTATATAAGATATGCAGGTCATATCCTATCTTTTCAGTGCTTAATGCTTAGGATTAATTTTGGGCATTTTCAACATTTTTCTCAAGAAATATAAAGTAAGTAATTCAGCCGTTTTCAATCTTTTTTTTTTTTTAAATTAAGCTGAAAATAGACTAGTGGCGCCATACGTATTTCAGTTAAGATTTTCTTTTCTGATATTATCATTTAAGCAAGAAATAAGAGAAATCAGGAAAAGTGATTAAAGTTGAAAGGAAATTACTGGGTATCTGCATGGAATTAGAAAAGTGACGAGGAGCATGAGTACTCTTCTCATCCCAAAACTGCAGCTCCTGTACTTTCACCAAAATCTCCTCTTTCATGCATTTAATTCTCCCAAATCCAGTCATAAGAAGAACATAAAGAAGAAAAGAACGAAATGCATTCCCCATTATTGTGACAGTTCTCTTAGAGAGCAGAGAATGGGAAGAAGATGAAGAGAGATAAAACTAAGAAGAGGTAGATTTTTTTTTCTTGGTTTTTTTTTTAAAGCAGAGATTGGCCAGTTTAAGGTAAAGAACAAAGCTAGTGGGCTGGCAAATTTTGGAGGGATGCGTTCACGTGCATGAGCTAAAGACCCTGCTGGTCTTTCTGCTTGATATTGGGATTGGTTTGGATTTTGTTTTGGGAATGCTACACAACACAGTCTCGTGATCTTTGGTATATTTCTATTGGGATGTTTAGATGTATACTTTTGCTTTTAGTTGATACTGTTGTTTTTTTAACTATTTCATAAGTATCTACTTAGGAGGAAATGTGTTGAAATAAATGAATGTTAGAGAGTTTTTTTTTATGGAAAGATATCATTTAATGATTGGATTCCATAGATGAAAATTAAAATGTGTTTAATAAGTAGTGTGTGAATTTTAGTCTCACATTGGCTAATTGAATGCATTTTAGTTGGTTCAAATTAACACACGTGTTATATATGGTATAACAAAAGTGTAAGTATTATACACTTGTGTTGGTATATAAGCGAGCGTGCGACCGGGAGTGCAGCTCTAGGTGCGTGCTCTTTTTGCACGTGGTATCTTTAAATGAGCGCGCATGCCCAGGGCGTGCATTTTAGTTGGTTCACAATAAGAGAGCGCTTCTTTGGACTGCATCCGTCTCATCCTCGGAAGTACTGTGTAGGCCCAACGCTACCGTAGGTGAGGTATAATTTCTTCAAGGCTAGTCCTCTGTTAAGAGGGCGATTCGGCACTTTCATAAAGTATTTTAAACTTGAAGTGTATCTAATATGATGTTTCTAACTTTTTGCCCTTTTCCTTCTTTCCTATATGGTTTGTTATGTACTATTTTGGATCTGTTTTTATATATACTTGTTTTTCCCAACAATCTTGAAGAAACTAATTTTAATTGAAGTTATATCGTCTGTTTCTGGAGTTGGTTCTGGTGCATATGCCTCTAAAATGGACATGTCTACAATGCCTGAAAAGTTCGTTGGTCAGTTCTTCAAATGTTGGCAACAATGTATAAAGATCTGATTGACGACTAAGGGGATGTTGGCAATGATATTAATAGAATGCCCAAAACTAGATGAAAAAAATCCTTATAGTGTAGATGAAATTGCACAATGGACAGAGAAGGACCAAATAGCCAGATGATGCATTTTGTTGGCTGTCCAACGTGCTCTTTGATGTCTATTATTCTTCTTCGGCCACTGCAAAGGCATTATGGGATGAACTAGACAGAAAATATAATACTAAAGATCTCGGTCTTAAAAAATATTATGTGTCCAAGTTTTTAAAGTTTTAAATGATCGAGGGTAAATCTATAACAGAACAAGGACATGAACTTCTGTTCATTCTTCATGCTCTTCGAGAAGCTGAAATGGAGCTTCCTGAAAAATTTCAAGTTATGACAATCTTTGAGAAGTTTCCTAATTCTTGAGAGACTTTTGGAATGTCTCTCAAGCATCATAAGGAAAACATAAATCTTGACGATTTGATGATTGCCATAGCTATTGGGGAAGAGCATAAGAATTAGAAACATGTTGTGTCTGTTGAGCACCAACCTAAAGCAAATGTTATAACTTCTGGAAAAAAGTTTTAAAACAAATCTAATGGCAAACCTGATGACAAAATCAAAGCAAAATCTAAGATCCAAAAGAAACCAAAAGCAAACAAACCATGTTAAAATTATGGATAGATTGGACATTGGGCTAAAGCTTGTCCTACAAAGAAAGCTAAAGCAAATCCAGGATCCACTAGTGTGCCTCAGGTCAACATGGCTATGACTGAGCCTACTGGATCTATAGAAGAGTATGTTTCTATTAACCCTGAATTACTAGATATTTATGAACCAAATGAATGGTTGGTAGACACTGGTGCAAACATACACATTTGTGTTGACAAATTATTGTTTGTGTCTTACCAGCATGCCATTGGCCTTTTTGTTTTGATGATGTTTAGCAAATAATATTACTACTAATATTATTTGTCTAGTGTTTATATTTTTGTATTTATTATAGACAAATAATATGTTGGAGGATGGATAGAATCAAGCTTTCACAATCATATCCAATGAAAGGTTGGCAGAATAGTGGAGTGAAACAATGCAATTCAAGTTAAAGAGTCAAGTTCAAGCTTCATCCGCAAGTTTACCAAGTCGAGCTCATTGAAGACCTTCATCAAGCTTGGGTATATTTAGTTTTAGGTTTATACTTGTTATATATATATATATATATATGTTTTGATTTAATAACTTTTAAGTTTATATATGAAACTATACAAGAGTTTTCAAAACTTTGGTTTATGTCAAGAACATCAAAATTCAAGTATCTCATGTTTTTATGTTTTGGATATATTTGCAAAATGATGATATTTTATAAATGGGAGATGCTTTTTGAAAACCAATTTTTGTAACATGTTTATTATCATATTTACAATCATTTCGCAAAGTTTTACATTTTTTTGATTTTATTTGCTATTTTTAAAATAGGTTTGAAAATCAGATTTACTATTCAAAATAGGCTGATAAAGTGTTATCAGTCGACTAATTTGGTACTCATCTTCAATTACTCTCTCCTTCTCTCTCTCCTCCATTAATTTCCCCTCTCTTCTTGAGCAATCTTTCTCCTCCATTAATATTTCTCCTCATAGATGACACTAATCCTACATCAATAGCTTGTTAACATTTTGAAATTTTTAGGTTTTCCAATACTGTATGTTTTCCAATACTATATGTTAACTTTTGAAATTTTGGGTTTTTTTGGCAATAGCTTGTTAAAGATGTCTTGTTCTTATAAATTGATGGATTCTTATCAAGCTTATGCTTCATGAAATGGTATGTGCATAACAATTTTGCTCATATATATCTATGTTTTGGTGACTAGGTTGATGCACAGAAGGTGTTTGATGGAATGACAAAATGGATGTAGTTATTTGGACCACAACGATTAGCGGTTATGCCATATTGCTATTGGTTGAGGAGGCAATAGAGGTGTTTGATGAAAAGTCTAAGAGAAGTTTGGTTTTGTGGGCCGCCATGATCTTAGCCCATCGGTATGCCTTCCTACGCCCTCCGGATGCACCTCACCATTTTCTATTGTCGTCAACACCTAACGTAACGCATAGCTACCCCTCAATCAGAAACCATTCGTCAATGCACACTAACTTTCTAATCAAATACATGAGAGAATCCCCCACTCTTGGCATTCGATCAGATCTTCGCATTGCTGTCACATTGCAACCCAAACGGCAAATCAACTACAGCCTGCAATATGATGTACTAAGTAGTATCCAATGTTTGTATCAAATGCACTATCCAATGTATCATGTTGTATCAAATTTATCAGTGGATCTAGTAGAAATGTATCTAGTAGAAATGTATACAACGTTTCGATAGTGGTGATTTTGGATTATTTCCATTCAATCTTCATGGATTATTTTCATTCAATGTTATGTGCTTGAGTTTAGTGGTTGATAGATATGAATATCTGTAATGAACTGATGCACTGATTGAACAGAAGAAATTTTGATGGTAGGTTGTGGTAACTACAGCCTATTGGGCAATATTATGTGTCGCGTGACCAATTATCCACCTCGACGAGGGGTACTCGCCCAATTTTTTAGCTTTTGATAAAGTATAGCACTTTATGGGAAAGTATAGCAGCTTATTGATAAAGTATAGCACCTTATGGCAAAGTATAGCATCTTATGGCAATAGTATAGCACCTTATCGATAAAATATAGCACCTTATGGTCGCTGGAAATTCAGTAACTTATTGTGATAAGTCAAATCAGTTTTTTTAGGGCAATGCAAACACTCAACGACCTACGTGACGTGTTTATTGACCAATCATCCACCGCGACGGGGGGTCCTCGCGCAATTTTGAAGCTTCTGGGCAAAGTATAGCACCTTATGGGAAAGTATAGCACCTTTTGGCCAAAATATAGCACTATATTGCAAAGTATAGCACCTTATTGGCAAAGTATAGCACCTTATGCTTTCTGAAAATTCTGCACCTTAAGTGTCTAAAATCAAATCAGTTTTTTTCGCCGCGACGAAACCACTCGACGACCTAGGTGACATGTTTATTGACCAATCATCCACCGTGACGGGGGGCCCTCGCGCAATTTTGAAGCTTCTGGGCAAAGTATAGCACCTTATTGGAAAGTATAACACCTTTTGGCCAAAGTATAACACTATATTGCAAAGTATAGCACTTTATTGGCAAAGTATAGCACCTTATTGGTAAAGTATAGCACCTTATGCTTTCTGGAAATTCTGCACCTTAAGTGTCTAAAATCAAATCAGTTTTTTTCGCCGCGACGAAACCTCTCAACGACCTACGTGACGTGTTTATTGACCAATCATCCACCGCAACGGGGGTCCTCGCGCAATTTTGAAGCTTCTGGGCAAAGTATAGCACATTATGGGAAAGTATAGCACCTTTTGGCTAAAGTATAGCACTATATGGCAAAGTATAGCACTTTATTGGCAAAGTATAGCACATTATTGGAAAAGTATAGCACCTTATGCTTTCTGAAAATTCTGCACCTTAAGTGTGTAAAATCAAATCAGTTTTTTTCGCCGCGACGGTGGATGATTGGTCAATAAACACGTCACGTAGGTCGTCGAGAGGTTTCATCACGGCGAAAAAAACTGATTTGATTTTACACACTTAAGGTGCAGAATTTTCAGAAAGCAACTATATTGTAAAGTATAGCACTTTATTGGCAAAGTATAGCACCTTATTGGCAAAGTATAGCACCTTATGCTTTCTGAAAATTCTGCACCTTAAGTGTCTAAAATCAAATCAGTTTTTTTCGCCGCGATGAAACCTCTCGACGACCTACGTGACGTGTTTATTGACCAATCATCCACCGCGACGGGGGTCCTCAAGCAATTTTGAAGCTTCTGGGCAAAGTATAGCAAATTATGGGAAGTATAGCACATTTTGACCAAAGTATAGCACTATATGGCAAAGTATAGCACTTTATTGGCAAAGTATAGCACCTTATTGGCAAAGTATAGT